TCGCGCGCATCGAAACCTAAATCATCTACATCTACATCTACATCTACATCTACATCTACATCTACATCTACATCTACATCTACAGCTACAGCTACAGCTACAGCTACAGCTACATCTCCATCGCCATCTCCATCTCCATCTCCATCTCCATCTCCATCTCCATCTACATCTACATATACATCTACATCTACATCTACATCTACATCTACATCTACATCTACATCTACATCTATATATACATCTACATGTACATATATACATATATACATATATACATCTACAGCTACATCTACATCTACAACTACATCTACATCTACATCTACATCTACATCTACATCTACATCTACATCTACATCTACATCTGCATCTACATCTACATCTACATCTACATCATCTACATCTACATCTACATCTACATCTACATCTACATCTACATCTACATCTACATCTACATCTACATCTACATCTACATCTACATCTACATCTACATCTACATCTACATCTACATCTACATCTACATCTACATCTACATCTACATCTACATCTACATCTACATCTACATCTACATCTACATCTACATCTATCATCTACATCTACATCTACATCTACATCTACATCTACATCTACATCTACATCTACATCTACATCTACATCTACATCTACATCTACATCTACATCTACATGCGAGGGAGAGGTGGGAGGGGAGGGAGGTTCAAACGACCCCTGCGGCCAGCGCGACGGCGATGGCGCCATTCCGACCAGCGACCCGCAACCCGCCAACGCTCGCCCACGACCCGTGCTCATCGCCGTCGTCGTCGTCGTCGTCGTCGTCGTCGTCGTCGTCGTCGTCGTCATCGTCCACAGTTTGGCAAAGACGGGGGCGTTCTGGGACCCATGGGGCACGGCACAGCATGGCATAGGATAGGCCCCTGGAAGGATCCAAAGGGCTTAAGAGGACCTCAGAACGCCCCAAGACGGCCCCGCGGCGGCCACGGAGTGCCCCCCGGGCACACCTATCGCAAAACAGCGTTTGCGATAGGTGCGCGCGGGGGCCCGTCACCCCCCCCCGGTTGGGTTTAAAAGGCTCTTCTGGGGCCCAAGACAGCCGCCGGAGAGCCCTCAGGAGGCTCTCGCAGGGCCCCAATGGAGCTCTAAAATGCCACGGGATGCCCCCCGGGCAGACCTATCGCAAAGCAGCGTTTGCGATAGGTGTGCGCGGAGGCCTGTCAGAGCCCCCCGACTAGTTTTTGCAGTTCCAGGTGGAGCTCTTTGGAATTACTGGACAGGGCTCCAGCAGGACCAAAAACCTCAAGAGAGCCCAAGTGACACCCAAGACGGCCCCTCAGGAACACTGAACAGCCCAGGGACAACACAAACCCGAGGAGGCAATAATTATTTGTTTTCATGTGACTTTTTAATATGTTTGCATTTTTGTATTTTCGAGCTTCCGTCGGCTCAAGACGGCCCCAGGCGCCTCCAACATAGGCCCACGACGGCCCGAGAAAGCCGCGCGATGTCCAAAGGTGCCTTCGATGCGGCCTCAGGACAACCCGCCCAAAGGGGCCCCAAGAGGGTCGGCGGAGAGCCTCGGGCGGGCTTCAAAAGAGCCAATATTATTCTGGGAAAGCCCGGCCCCGCTTTCCCAGAATGATTCGGGCATCCTGGGGTTCTCTTGGCATCTCTTGGGGCCTGCGAAAGCTCTCCGGGGGTATCTTGGAACTCTTTTCGGTTCCGAGAGAGCCACTAGGGGGCTCCAAAAGGGAATGCAAGAAGCTTTTCACAGGCCCCAAGAGGCCCCGAATATGGTTCCAAGAGGACCTCAAGAGGGTTCCAAGGAAAGTTCCAGGAAAGCTCCAGGAATCCCAAGCTATTCAGGGAAAGCGCCGCCGCGTTTCCCACCACTAATGCGGGCCCTATTGGGGCCCTCTAGGGCCCGAGCTCGCCGACGCGACATTGCGCCTCGTGGCCTCATCGAGGTTCTCATGATGCTCTACGGGAGCACCCGACGCGGTCTACTTGACTTCGCCGTGGTGCTGGAAATCGAAGAGCTCGAACACACATGTTGTTTTTGTCCCGCTGGCACCAAATGGAACTTGTTACGCGGGCCCCCCCTCCAAGTCGAGAAAAAAAACATCCGCGCCCTCGCTGGCCAGCGCACTTCGCGGCGCGAGGCGGTTCCCCATGGCGAGCGCGGACTCGCTTTCAAGTGTGCTTCCGCTGGCAGAAAAATGAATGCGCCGAATGCGATGCGGAAGAAGACGAACTCCTCCGCAAAGCGCGGTCGCCTATGGGGTTCTAAAAAGGGCTGCGGACGCTGCGCGTGAGTTGCGCGAGCTGCGCGAGTTGGTGTCCCAGACGCGTGGCCGATAGCGCCACAATAGGGCTGGTGGCCGGCGGGGCGCGGCCAAGCGAGGCTCTCCGCCCCAGGGCGCTCGACGGAGCCGCGCGCCTACGACAGCTGCGCCGCCGCGAAGAGAGCGCGCACGTCGGCCAACTCGCGCCTCAGGTCGCGGACTTCGGCTTCCAGGGCCTCTACCCTGGACTGCAGGCCGCTCGCCTCGCTGCCACCGCCCGCCCCCACGCTGCCGCTGCCGGCGCCGCCGCTCGCGGCGGCGCCGGGCGTGTTCAGCTCGTCGCCGACGTCCTCCGCGGCATCGGGGGCTGTCCACGCGAGCGCCGGCGGCGCAGCCTCTGGCGGGGCCCTGAGCGGCGCCGCCGGAGGCGCCGCCGCGCCCCAGGCGCCCCACGGGAAGGGCAAGGCGCGCGGCTCGGGGGGCGGCGCCGCTGCGCCTCTGACCCGCTCGGAGAAGTGATCCGGATTGTGGACCCACGGGACGCAGAAGCCGTTCCTGATGACTCAGGACAGCAAAAACCACGATGTCCATGTAAATTGTGTTTTTTAATGCAGAGGGGGGGGGGCATGTATTCTCAATCCCATGCTCCCTGCGTGAGTTTTGATTGATCCGTTTTCCACGAGGCTTACTTGGCGGTTCCCACGCGAAACCCCAATCCCCTTGAGGGTGCAAGAGAGAGAGAGAGAGAGAGAGAGAGAGAGAGATCCCTGGCTCCTGGGATGGGTTTACATGATGCGCTCTTGTCGTTCCCTGGCCCCCCTTGAGGATGCAAGAGAGGGTTTACATGATGCGCTCTTGTCGTCCCCTGGCTCCTGGGATCACCGTACCACGAGTGGCGATCCCCGAGGATGTGGTCGTCGTTCACCTTGTCCTAGACGGAATCTTCAATGCTCATTGAAAGTTTCGGGGCCGCCCTACCGAAGCCAGAAGCCCCTCCTCTATTTTCCGATCCTCATCGGCTCGCCCCGCGGAGTTTTCTGGGCTCCAGGGCCGCTCCTCACAATCGGAGATCAGACTAAATGGAGTCCACCGGCTTGTCCCTTGACATTTTTTAGCAAGTTGTGCCCGCGGCGGATGCCCAACAGCCGCAACCGCGGTGTCGCGGGTCCTGCACGTACGGGCGCTAGTTGGCGTAGCACAACTTGCAGCGCCAATCGCCCTCCGGGTCCGCCTCGAGCCACGAAACCTGATCGGAGGATACTAAGCTCCGCGGATCGCAATCGTCGTTCGAAAAGAAATCGTCGCCGCGAATCAAGCCACTCGATACGCCCATTGAATTTCGCCTGAGCGCGAAGCCCCCCACCTCCCCACCCTGCTACAAGCCTCGCCAGGGATATTCAGACACAACAAGGGTATTTCACGTCCGTGATGAATTCGGGCACTTGTCAGAAAGCGCATTCTTAAATTTTGATAGAGAGGTGACTGATTTTAAGCATGCCCGCGTCCGAATCATATGGTTCTTCATTACTAGAATGGCGTTGACCCTATAAGTCTCGAAATCTTCGAAAACAATGCGTTGATTATTCCTGGCGAGGCTTGTCGATACGACCGCAAGTTCCGCCGTTAGTTGCCTGCTCTGACCAGGCCAGAAGCCCCGGAGACCCACGGAACGAGTGAGTGTCGAAACCCGCGGAGGCTTGGGGATCCGGGATCCGAAAGCATTTTCTAAAACCTTGCCCCCCTGCGATAGTTTGCAATCCGCGTCACTGGCGAACGAGTCTCCGCTTCCAGAAAGAGCGGGGTGGGCGCCGCCATGTCGCGGGGGGCGGAGCGGCGGGCGGCGGCGGGGCGCGGCGAGCTGCAACCGACTGATGCTGAGATCGCAGCGGCATCCGGAACCGACGAATGCAATGAATGACGACTGACTGCAGATGGCATCGCGGCAACCTATCACCGTTACCGAGCAAACCCTTTAGCGGACCAATAACCCGGAGAAGGCGTCGCCCGGGGCGACGCGGCGAGTCGGCCGTCGAAGGCGGCAAAGTTCTTGTAGAATCGCCCTTGTCTAAGACATTCTTTGTGTGTGATGTCTCCTGTAGATGACGTTCCACGAGATGCGCGCGCCGAGATCAGGGGCCAGGAGATCAAGGAGGTGGAGGGCGGGGGATGATGCGCATACATGCCGTTCTACAACCTCGAGAGAAAAAGTACCACGCGCAGCGTGATACTTTTCAGCGTGCGCGTCTGCGTTCCCGACGGGCCAGTCTGGCAGTGCCGTCGTCGGGCAAGTCTATCATCTTGCAAACGTGCAAACCTGCTATCCGTTATCTGGCAAATCTGCCATTTGGCAAATCTGTTATTTCGCATAAGTGTTATCTGGCACAATTGTCGTGCGTATTCTGTGTTTGGGAAAAGTTGTTGCTAGGTAAACCTGGATATCTGGCATACCTGTGATGTGGTAGTATGGCTTATGACGCAGCAGATGTGGCCCTATGCAATGGGGTCGTTTATCATCACTCAGTAGGTAGCCGCATGCAAGGCAAGTTCCGGACAGTGCATGCTATATACAGGGGCATCTATAAACGAGCAACACCCTGTACAAGGCGCCCCTGCGCCCCCGCGCATTTCACGAGCGGGGAGGGCGGAGCTGGGGTCAAGGTTCGGAAACGACGGAGAAGCGAGGGCATCGGCAGACTCGGGCAACCTCTAGACTGCGCACGCAGGGCACGGCGTCGCATCGTCGGGCCAGCAGCCGCTGCCACTGCGCAGGTTGCACGTCTCGCAGAGCATACAAAATTCCCGGATCTTGCCGCCCTGGCTCGAAAAATATTCCAGCACGCCTGTGTTCGAGCAGAGGATGCAATTGAACGCCTCCTCCACGCACTTTCGCGCGGCATCGGCGCCAGCTGAGTTGGGTGCGCGCGGCAAATGCACGTCGGCCGGGGGCCCGTGCCTCCTGCGAAGAATTCCAGACATTGAATTCACTGCGCATATGATATCCCGACTCACGTCCGCGGCCCCCTTACGGTGCTCAGGCGTCGGTGCTCGCGGGCGAACGACCACCATCTTCCCCGAGATCTCTGCGCCAGTGAAAAAAAGTAATGTCGCAGCCAGAGCCTGAGCTACGTTGATCGGCATGTCGCGGAAGTGCAAGGGGAACGTGCTGGGCGGGTCCGCCGATGCCCGGTTGCCCTTTTTGTTATCCCCCAAGAACTGGTACATGAGCATCCTCGGGTCGCCACCACCAGGGCGCTCCAACGCCAATGCCAAAGCAGCGCGAGCCTCCCAGCTCTCTCGCAGCACAGCGCCGCCCAGGCGCAGCCTCTTCCTGGGCATGGGCGTCGCCCGCAAGGGAAACTCTGCCGCGAAAGCGTCGGGGAAGAGCTGGACCGCATGCAACGCAATCACCCGCCCTGCGGCCATCGCGCGCTCCACTGTCGCACTGCGAGGAGCCGCTTCGTCGTCCCGCGCTCGAGTGGCGTCCAAGTACATGGCCGTAATCGCAGCTCGGCCGTTCTGAACCACGACCCCCAAGTGCTTGAGTAGTTGGCTTCGAACTGCGCGCAGCGCGGTCGGGTCCGACGCGAGACCGTACATGTCGGGCTGGCTCACCCACGAGGAAGTCTGGAGAGGCATCGCCTGCGAAGTTTGCTCACGAGCGGCCGTCGGCAGGGCTCCTCTGTCCATCATCCACTCGCAGGCGTCTCCGACCGCATGCGCAATGGATATGGGTTGCGCCGTCAGCGGGCGCACCTGCGCGCGTGCCGCCCGATTGCGGAGCTTCGCGACCACGCGCGGGATGGGGGACAGGAAGGTCGCGACGGCGCGGAACATCTGACTTGCCCCCGCAGCGCCGCCGGGCGACGTGAACCACTCCGGCCGCGCAGGCTTCTCCGCGCCGGGCCCGCGGCAGTCGATCTTTTCGATGTCCAAGTCGCCGCCTGCATCCGAGGTGTAAGCCTGATGCCTCCGCCAGTGCGGAGCCGCGTCGCGGTCGTCGAAGCACTCCTCGCACTCGTGCGACGAAGCGAAAAGAATGCACCTGGAGAAGGCCACGTTGTGTCGGTTGGGCTCCTTCGCGTGGCCCTGCAGGTCATGCGCGGAGAGGTCCCCGGGAAACAGCGTGGTCTGCGCGAGGAGGCCGTCGGAGCCCATGGCAGCCTCGGGCGTCATCACGCGCCAGAGCTTGGGGGCATCAGCCACGAAGTCCGGTGGACCGAACGCCGCCCGCACTTCCTCGTCCTCCAGAGCACCTCGCACCAACGTGGCGAAATTGACGCCCACGTCGTTCGCAAGGATCATGGTCAAAACCGCCTTCGTGGTCGACTCCAGCGACATGCGCGGCCCGCCAACGCGCTTGCTCACCTCGCCTGACAGTGGTCCCAAAGCATTCGACAACGGGCGCAGCTTCGACAGACCCCCTTCTCCCCGCTCTCGGCGACGCAGATTTTCTCCCCCGAGCGGCGCGAACGCAGCTCCAGGGGAAAAATGCGCGGTGGAGTTCTATGCGTCGTTGTAGGATGGGAGAACGGGATGGAGGGGAGGGGTCTGAGCGCGCGAAAGCTTCGGCACCCCCTCAACCTCTCGCCAGCACGCGCAGGAAGAACAAGCCCTCGAACAGCATCTGGGCGAAAATGACGTCGGAAGCTCCGGCGCGCAACGTCGACGTTCGTGACCTCGTTGCCCCCGCGGCAGACGAGCCCGGAGCTGCGCGATCAACCTGGCCCACCTCCTCTGCGTCGTCGGCGAGTACGCCGCGGGATAGCGATGGAATCCATCGCGCGCCCCTGTAGAACACGAAGCGCATCGCAGTGTACGGGGCAATCGACAAGTCCACGGACGAGTCCCCGCTCTCTCGGGCGCATTCGATCGCGCACTTGATTTCCCGGCCAGGCCGACCGTAGACAGCTGAGATTGCCCTGAGGAGTTTGGCAGGCGCAGGGCCGAACCGATGTGCGACTGGCAAGGACAAGACGCTGTCTGCGGGAACATGGCCCCAAGCACGCACGCGGGACTTCCCGTGGCAGGCCATCTGCCACTCGTAGTAATTACCTGCTCTGTCGGGCCTCGGCTCCCGCAGGAACTCCGTCGCAGGTCGGTGGCGGATCTCCTGGGCGGAGTCCAAGTACACGACCGCGCTCGGCGCTGACTGCAACGCGGCGTACACTTCGCCGAAATTAGCCTGGTGCACCTCGTCGATGATGACGAATGCAATCTCGAACCGCTTGAAGATCCTGGACAACCAGCTGCGGCCGCTCTGGGCGTTGTTGAAAGCGTCGATGGTCATGGCGAAGACGCGCACGTCGTGGAACTGCTTCTCCGCGGCTTCCTCCTGGAGGGCGTCGTACTCGAAGCACAGGTGCCGCATCAGCTCCGTCTTCTCCAACCACTCTCTCCGCTCGAGCGCGCCCTCGTCCGGATTGCAGCGAACGGCGGCCAGGTCGTTGCGCAGTTCCTCGATGCGCATCTGCAGGTCTGTGAATCGCCCGCTCACTGCCGATAGCAGTTGCGAATCCAGATAACCGTCGTCGTCTGACGGAGCTTCGTCCGCAGGTCGGCCGACGCCGGCGGCGGCCAGCGGGTCGTCTAGCGCGGATCGGATGTTGGACAGCAGCTCGTCGCGCATGGCACGCTGCTGGGCGAGGGCCACGCACTTGGCATTGCCAGAGCAATGGCTCGCCGCGTTAGCAATGATGCCTGCCGCCGTCGCTGATTTGCCAGTGCCAGGGTAGGCTTCGCACAGAGCAGCGCCGTCTTCCCGGTCAAGTGCGCGGCGGATGAACTGCATCTGGGCGTTCGTGAACTTTTTGCCGATGTCCGTGGACTGCTTCAAGATCTCCTCGGAACTCATCTGCCGGAAGACACTGGGATTGCGCTGGCCGCCAGCGGATGCCACGCCGTGCTCCGGCAGCAGCGACCGGCAGCACGGCGACGGATCAGTGCGGAGGCTGCGCTTCAAGGCCGCGATAGCATTTGCCTCGGCGCCAACATATTCACCGATGCAAACGAATACCCGACCGCGGACTGACGTCCCGCGCTGCAGTCGCAGGAGCGGCTCCTCGTCAGTGCCCGCGGTCGCAAGGCACAGGTGGAGCTCACCGCGCTCCACGGCCTCGACGAAGAGAGACCCTTTCTCACCGTTCGCGAGCGCGGGGAATACATCTGCGCCTGCCCCCGTCTGCTTCTCCGCCGCAGCGGCCGCGACCGCCCGCATCTGCTCTTCCGCCACGACGAGCGCCACGTGATCGCGAACGTGGTCCGGGTCCACAACGGGGTGGTCCAGGATCAACGTGTCCCAGACGTCGAGGCTGCAGTCAACGTCGTTCGCGCAGGCTGGCACGAGGACGTTGCCGGTGCCAGAATAGGTAATTTCGCCAGCCAGAAACGCGTGGATGCAATTGTTCTTCAGCTGATGTACGACGTAAGGGGCCCACATGCTCTCCGGGACGACGTCGCCATAGTGTTTCTGCGCATTGCTGCGGAAAGATAACACTCCGCAGCTGCATTGCTCGCCGAGCATTCGGCCCAGCCCGACGCCTGGGCCGAAGCGGCAAGGATCCCGAGACACCACAAACTCCTCCAAGTCCGACCACCCCAGCTGCACGGGAGCGCCGTAGGCCGCTCGCTGGAGGACGCGCCCGAGACCAGTCCAACGATCCAGCTCCTTGTTCAGCGCATCCTTGTTGTTTTTGATCCGAGGTTTCCAATCGAGGAGCTGCTCCTCCATGGAGTCCAGAATGCTTCCCAGCGCAAGTCGGATGCCCATGCTCGCTGGGCCGCGGAGCAAAGCAAACAGGCTCGATCGCTGACCAGAGGTAAAGTCTTGCAGAGCGGCCCTGGCGTCGGCGGCGCGGTCCGCGTCGACCGCGCAAGCGCAGGAGACGCAGAAACTCCTCGCACTCTTCAGGGCGCCACTGCGGCCGCGGATAACGCGGGGGCGACCGTCGGCCCGCGGGCGGATGGTCTCGCGGTTGCTGGCTGCCACTGTCAAGGAGAGAACCTGGGAGACCCTATCGCCGATCTTGAAGCCTGCCTCCAAGGGCACGCCGAACTCCCAGGCGTCTGTGAAAGAAGCGTTGCCGCGCAATTCGGACCCCCAATCTTCATTCTTGACACCGATGTCGGGTAGATCCACTGCGCCGCGTCGCAGGCGTGGCCGATCCGGCATGACTACGTTGTAGAAGATGACGATCTGAGGCGACATGGCGGAGACCAGGCCGGCAATGCCGAGCCACGAACAGAAACGGGATAATGCAAAAGCAGGCCGGCAATGCCGAGCCACGTAAGGGGTATATTGATAGGCCGGAAATGCCGAGCCGCGCAAGAAGTAGAATGACAGGCCGGCAAAACCGAGCCACGCCAAAGAGACAATATCTCGAGGGAGATACAGCTGCAATTCGGACCGCGCCGATAACAGAGGCGATAGGGACGATTAGCTGCTAGGACGTGCGCTATAATCACCGATATTAAAGAATACGATCATCGGCTCGGGTTATGATGTCGCGAATGTGCTATATGACTAACGCGCTATCTGCAGCGCCACTGTGAGTTAATTAGGGTTTCGTGGGGTTCTCCCGTAGAGCGTCAAGAGAGCCGCGATAAGTCTCGACGCGCAATGCTGCGGCGTCGAGCTCAATCCCAAGAGGGCATCATGAGGGTCCGAGCTATTTGGGGCGGAACGCGGCAGCGCTTTCAAACAATAGCTTTGGCTATCTAGAGCTTTTTCGAACTCTTCCTTAGAGCTCTCTTGGGGCTCTCGTGGAGCAATTTTGAGGCCTCTTGCGGCTTGCGAAAAAATGTTGTTGATACCCCTGCAGCCCCTCTGGTGGCTCTCTCGGTCTTTGGGGGGCTTCCAGGCGAACCCCCAGAGGGCCTTCGCAAGCCTAAAAGGCCACAAGAGAACCCCAAGATGACTTCAAGAGAGCTCCGAAAGCCAGGGTATGGTGATCATGTGGAGGACGAGGATGAAGGTGACGATGACTAGGGAGAACAGGACGAGGAGGAGGACGACGACGACGGCGACGACGACGACGAAGAGGAATGCTGTCACCTGTGACGCCTTTCGTTTTCACTTTTGGAAACAGAGTGATCACATAGACCTCATCTGGTAAGTTGTTGGGCTGTTCAGTGTTCCTGAAGGGCCGTCTTGGGCTCCTTTGGGCTTTCTTGAGCTTCCTGGTCTTGCTGGAGCCTTCTCTGGGCTGTCCAGTGGCTCCCAAGAGCTCCATAAGGGCATTCACAAATTAATTGGGGGGCTTTGACAGGGCCCCGCGCACACCTATCGCAAACGCTGCTTTGCGATAGGTGTGCCCGGGGGGCATCCCGTGGCATTCCAGAGCTCCACTGGAGCCCTGCTAGAGCCTCCTTGGGGCTCTCCGGCGGCTGTATTGTGCCCCAGACGGGTTTTTAAAACCCAGCTGGAGGGGTTGACGGGCCTCCGCGCGCACCTATCGCAAACGCTGCTTTGCGATAGGTTTGCCTGGTGAGCATCCAGTGGCCGTCTGGCGACCGCCAAGGGGCCTCTGGGTACAACATAACCCGCCAGTTACGTTGTACCCAACACGCCCTCTGGCCGACGCCAGGGGGCCGCTGGGTGCAACATATACCGCCAGTTATGTTGTACCCAGCACGCCCTCTTTGGCGGACGCCAGGGGGCCTCTGGGTAGAACATACAGCGCAGATTAAGTCGCACTCTGAAGTCTGGCGAACGCCCTTGTCTCCTCCGGGGAGGCTTCCGTCGAGCGCTCAGAGCAGCTGAATTAATTTAATTAGTTTAATTAATTTGATTAATCTACGTAGATTAATTAAATTAATTAAATTAATTCCGCTGCTCTCAGCGCTCGCCTGAGGCCTCCCCAGGGGAGCCCAGGAAATTTAAAGTAATTAATTAATTTAATTAATTTACTGGGTTCCCCTGCAGGCTCCGGCGAGCGCTCGGAGCAGCCGAATTAATTTAATTAGTTTAATTAATTTAATTAATCTACGTAGATTAATTAAATTAATTCAATTAATTCCGCTGCTCTCAGCGCTCGCCTCAGGCGTCCCCAGAGGAGCCCAGGAAATTAATTATATTAATTAAATTACGTAGATTAATTAAATTAATTAAATTAATCCTGCTGCTCTCAGCGCTCGCCTCAGGCATCCCCAGAGGAGCCCAGGAAATTAATTGAATTAATTAAATTAATTAAATTAATTAAATTATTAAATTAATTCAATTTATTCAATTAATTCAATTTATTCAATGAATTCAATTCATTTAATTAATTTACTGGGTTCTCCTGCAGGCTCCGGCGAGCGCTCAGAGCAGCCGAATTAATTTAATTCGTTTAATTAATTTAATTAATCTACGTAGATTAATTAAATTAATTAAATTAATTCTGCTGCTCTCAGCGCTCGCCTGAGGCATCCCCAGCGGAGCCCAGGAAATTAATTAAATTAATTAAATTAATTAAATTATTAAATTAATTCAATTAATTCAATTAGTTTAATTAATTTAATTAATTTAATTAATTTCCTGGGTTCCCCTGCAGGCTCCGGCGAGCGCTCAGAGCAACAGAATTAATTTAGTTAACTTAATTTATATACGTGTATTAATTAAATTAATTACATTAATTCTGCTGCTCTCAGCTCTCGCCTGAGGCTCCCCAGGAGGAGCCCAGAAAATTAATTTAATTAATGAAATTAAGTAAATTAATTCAATTAATTCAATTAATTTAATTAATATCTGCAGATTAATTGAATCAACATAAATAATTAAAATAATTCAACATATTGTACTGGAAAGATCTCCAATCATGTGAGGGGATCATTGTGGTATAATGTGCGTTCCCTCTCTACTCGCGTTCTCCCACTCACTCTTCATATCTTCCTCCTCATCCTCCTTCTCCTCCTCCTTCTCCCCCTCCCATTCCTCCTCCTCCTCCTCCTCCGCCTTCCTCCCCCCCTGCTCATCATTATCAGCATCATCGTTTCAGCATCCGCATGCTCCTCGTCCTCCTCATGCATTTCACGTTGCCCAGACGCGCCAGATGTTCGAGGCCACGGCCTCGCCCACCCGGTTTTAGATAGGCCCGGACGCTGTCCGCCGCGGTGGTCGTTCGCTCATCCTCCTCATGCTGCTCCTCGTCCTCCTCATTATATCCCTCTTCCTCCGCGTCACCTCCTCCTCCTCCACATCACCATCAGCATCATCAGCAGCATCGCCATTACCACCATCATACTCGTCGTCGTCATCGCTGTGGTAATCGTAGGTACGCCGGATATGTCCGCACAAGCGCCTCTGCGGACATACGCCAGCAAACTATCCCCGATGTACGCACATATGCATGTTTTATCAAATATATATTACATGCAAGATGTCCAACTTTTCTATATAGCAGTGTCCTCAACACAGATTGCCAAGTCACCGCTGGCAAGTGCGCGCGGCGGGAGCCTGGCCAGGGGCCCCGCGCGACGCAGGCTTGCGCTTCAAAGTGAAAGCTGTTCTCTTGATCCTAGGCTCTCTACGATCGCGCAGACTGTCCAAGAGCGCCCTTGCAGCGGGCTTCTTCTGAGCACCGCGCCGCCCGGCAGGCGCGGCCTCGCGCGCCGCTGGCTTCCCCCGAACGCACGCAGCGCGCTCGGCAATCAGCCGCGCGACTCTTTGTCGGGCTTCGCGGAGCGGAAGTCGTGCAGGCGCCAGGACGTCGGTGCCGCACTGCGCCTGGAGCGCGCAGTAACTCTTCCAGTCATCTCGGGGAAAAGCCCAGGCCATAATGCTTCGCGATAGCACGTTGGCCTGTCGCAGCTGCCGCAGCGTCGGGGAATACAGCGCGCAACTGTGGGCTTGCAGCTTCCCCAGAAACCCAATCCTAAGTTGAAGCTCCGCCGTCGAAGCGTAGATGTCCCCCTGGTTGCGAAACCACGTGTTGATCTCGTGGTTGAAGGATTCGTTGACGGACGTGCCAGACCCCAACAGAGCCAAGCGCGCCGCCGGCAAGGAATGCCTGAATCGCTGATTATTGAAGAACCATTGCATGCGAGCAGGGGCGGTCGCATTGTAAAGCAACCTCTTGAGTTGAACGTTGTTCACGTGGGTGCGGCGAGCAAGCTCTTCTGGAACCAACGCGCTCAGCGCGGCGATAGACTCGATGAACTCATGCGTTGTTTTCCATGGCAGCTCGGCGTTCACGTGGTCGATCACATGTTGAGCTCGCGACTTCGCGAATGAATGATCGAGTATCTGTGCTCGCGCGCGCTCTTCTATTGGCCGCAGAGCTGGGGCGTTCGTCCCGTCGAACGGCGCCCCCCAGTATTGCGCGGGTAGCGTGCAATCCACCTTCGTAAACTTGGCCATTAGAATCCGCAATAGTCGCGATCCCACCGTCTTTTTTCTCCAGTGCGTCTCCTCGTACGTGATGGGCAGATGAACTGGGTCGAGACTCAAGACTGATAGTCCAGGAAAACATGAACCTCGCAAGGCGCGGAATAGCGCGCTGCTCGGCTGGTCACTGGCGACGGACGCCGTCTGCAATCTGCACGCCGCCGACCAACGAGCTGCAATGGCCTCAGCTATTTCATCAGCGCCTTCGTCCTTCGTCAGGAAAACACCGAGCGCCGCGCCCGTCCTGCCCGCGAGAGTCAGGACGCGGCGCTTGGCGTCCACGTCCGGCACGGGTGCAGCGTCGCGCACTGCTTGTGCGGACCGATAATCCGCCTGGCCCTTGACCCTGCGCAGAATGCGGATAGTGGCGTCCATGGAGACGTGGAGGAATTCCTCATGCCGGTGGCATTCTTCCATCAACGCAGTGCTGCGCCTCTCTACGTGCGCGCTGTTGAACGCGTCTTCCATAAGCTTCAGCCAGTGATCAACGCGCGTCGGCAACATGCTGCTCAGCTCGGAGCCCTGCTCCACGACGCGAGCGCACGTCCGCAGCATCGTCGGGCGAACGCGCCCATGATGGCGCAAGGACTCCTGCAACAGGATATCGGCGAAGCCACGGGTATATTATGTGTACCCCACTCGTCTGCACGCGAGATTTTGCCCGACTGCTGCCTTGTTTTGATACGACGGCCCGTCGTCGTCGAGGACCAGGACGATGTCCTTGTCAATGGCGTTCTGTCCGCGATGAACAGCAGGAGATACTGTCTCCCGCAGGATCGTCGCAGATCGCTTCAGCAGGTTCCCTGTTGGAGCTCGCAGGAGCCGGTCGTTGTCGAACAACGCGCACACGGCATTGAACTGCTTCGTGCCCGAGGCCACGAAGCGCGTCTTTCTGAGGTGATACTTGGAGACGTGCGAGGCCAAGAGCGCCTGCGTCGTGAACGATCGGAACGGGCATAGGCCGCAAGCAAATTTCAGTTTGACGCCCTCGCTGTCCCGCTTGGGGCGCAGGAGCGTCACCCCCGCAGCGTAACTCTTGACTTCCTTTTCCAGGCGCTCGAACAACTCTGCGCGCACTGCTGTTTCGCCCTCGTCGCCGCTCGGGGATTCAGGTGCATCCGCCGAGCCCACGTCCGCGAGCTCGTGGGGCTGGCGCTGCTCGGCCGCGAGGCAAACCCAGCCCTCGCCGACGTCGTCCGCCGTGCTCTTGCTTCTGATTCGTCTCCGAGCCGGCGCCGGCGCGAGCCTGGCACCGTCCTGCTCCTGGCGAGCGGGCGCGCCGCGCATGTGAGATAGCGCAGAAAGGTGGTAGGAGAAAACAAAACAGGGCGGCAAGGCCGACCCACGGGTGAGATTGCAGAGAAAACACAGGGCGGCAGAGCCGACCCACGGGGAATGCATGTCTTGAGCCGTAGGGTGATGAAGAGATAGGCAACGATCCATCAGCGGCGCTGCCGTCGAATATGTAAGAGCTAGGCAATGGGGGATATCAAGCGACATGAAGGCCCCGCGCCACGTTGGGCACGTGTGAAGGCGAGGAGAAAATATTGAGATGATTGAGAAGTCGCGATTTTGTCTACGCAAAGGTTCGATCGGAAGTCACGGCCCGCTCTCGACTGAGGGCCGCGCAATGGCGTCAGCGCCGCCGCATCCCCCCTAGTCCAGTCGCGGGCGCGAGTCGGCCGACGTCCCTGCTTGCTCTTCAGCCGCGTGTCGCCGGTGCAGTCTGAGCATATCGGCGGTGAAATCTATGTTCAGGGTGTCTTCCCAGGCGACGCAGACTCCGCTGCACCGCGCGCATGCGAAGACGTCGCCGCGATGTTTCAATCGCTGCGCCAACATGGCCCACGCGGAGGTCGCTGCGCGCAAATGCATCAATTCGGGGAAAGGAAATGATCTCACCGTGGCCACGCACCCTTCCAGATAGTGGCCGATGCCGTCGACGTCGCCGTCGTCCATCCCGCAAAGGAAACAGCGATCGTGAACAGGGCTGGGGGCTGTCACCGAGGCAAGTTCTGCGTTGGCAGGCTGAAACCAGCAAGGCACAACAGCGAGGACTCCGGGCAGTCCGGCACCGTGCGGGCCACGCGAGGCCCTGGGCCCGCTCGAACTGAAAGGTTTCACGAGGATGAACGTTTTGTCTTGGCGAATATGTTGATCCAATGCGAAAACACGCGCTAATGCCCGTCTCCGCAAGGAAGGGAAGCATGCCATAATAGAATCGAATGCTTCATTTGAGATCTTCGATACCATCAGCGCGAAAGTCTCGATGTCAGCGGCGTCGTCTCTTTCCGGAGACGATGAAGGTGTTCGCGCTGCAGCCGCGCGCGCAGCCCGCGAGGACAGTCGAAGCTTCCTGCGCGCCGGCGTCAGCGAGCGGGCGCCAGAGTACGCGCGCCGCTGGCGAGCCCTCCCGCCAGGCGTCGGGACGCCCACCTCAGGGGACTGCGAGCTCAGAAATGGAGAACTGGCAGCGCGCTGGTCGTCGGTGGCCATGGCGCCGAGGCACGTCAGAGAGATCACAGGACAGCAATGCTGATCCACAATCAGGGAAAGAGCGGGGAAGTCAAAGCAGGCCGACAATGCCGAGCCACGTTTGCTAAAATCCTGAGCCGATGAAGCGAACGGCCGTGCTGATTTTTCCCCCCGCGCATCGCCGAAACGCGAGCTGGGGAAAAATCATATTCCATGCTACTCCCGAGCGGACTTTGCGCGCGTCGCCTGTTGGGTAGCGCAACTTGCGTCGGCATTTACTCTTTGCAATGATGGCATGGGATATATGATATCTCTGGGTGTCCCTCTCCGCTTCGGCTGTTGTTGATACACATAACAATTTCTTTTTTTGGCTACGCAAGCGTCGCATCCACGCACTCCTTCATGCGAGGGCATCGCTACTTCTGCGGAAGTTGAGAGCACGCGGCTGTCAGCGTGGCTCCCGCAGAGCCCACGCGCGCCATTTTCATCCGCTGCCAGTTGGCATTCGGCAATGGCAACGGCACCTCAAGAGAACGGCGCACAGTCGCAACGGCAACGCCAGTGCGCGACGTCCACTGACATCTGGCGAAAGGCGCGATCGAAATTGGCCGCGGTGCTCAGGCAATAAGGCATGCGCGCCGCCACGACTGGCCGCGGCCAGCCGCCCAGAGGGTCTATCTCCCGGGTGTATTCCGACGCCATTGCCCGCAACTCTCGGGACCTCGTGCGTTGAATGGCCATGAGCTCCTCGATCTCTGGGATCACCGGCACGTCGTCCACAAATGGCTGGTCGCCGGTGTCCGGATGAAGGCAGACCACATACATCGCGGCCACGCGGGCGCCGTAGTAATGTTCCAACATCCACCTGTAGATGTTAAGCTGCACCCGGTAATGATTTCCCTGGCAGTCTGACAATCGGCTTAATGGAAACTTCATATTCCCCCATGGGTTCGTGAACTTCGAACGTAAATTATTCGCCCGCTTCCAATCGTATATGTACAGGCTGCCCGCAGAGTCTCGAGCCACGAAGTCGATTGACCCAGCGAGCCCCTCGTGCTCGGCGAAGATGGCCCACTCGGCGCGGAAAGCCACCAGACCTTTCAGCGCGCCCAAGAATTTCAAGAACAACTGGAACTCGACGGCATCGCGGGGCACCGGAACGCGGTTGAGGTGGGCCTCGAACGTCCAGTGCATCCAGGTGCCCCGCCTAGCCGCCTCTTCTTTGTTCAGGCGCCATTTCTCCACGATCTCGTGATCCGAGAGAGATAGACTTTCCAGATGGTTTGCCAAGTGGGGGGCCGCTCTCGCAGTTGCCTTCATCTCGGCGCAGATCTCGGCGTCGCAAGCCCCGTGCGAAACAAGTAACTCGTGCAAGCGAGCAGCCTCCGCCGTGGCCCGCAGCTCCGCGACCACGTCTTCCGGGCGAGGGTGGCGCAAATAATCAGGTCGCGGCCAGTTCCGCCCGCTCCGCATCTTCCCAATCACAGCGCCAGCGTCGAAAACACTGCAGTACTCATGTATCAATCCCGTGACCGACCCATGCGTTCGCGCGCCGCTAATGTAATAGGCGTGCGACTCTTCGACGAAGTGCAACTGGGAGTCCCGAGGGTGAGCGTTGAGTCGCTCGAGCAAGCGGATCTTCGGAAGACGCGGCAGCTCGAGGGAGAAATCGCACGGGACTTGGGGCACCTGAGTGCCGGGCCACCCCACCGGCGGCAACGGGCAGAACAGACGCGAAGCTCTGCGCCGCATTGCCTCCTCTCGGTTCGCTGATACCCGGGCAGCCTCCAGCGGCGCGAGCGAGCCCGACGATGACGCCAGCCCATAGGGGGTCGCTCGTTCGCGAGCCGCGCGCCGACGGATGAGTGCGTCCAGCCTATGAGCTTCGATAATTCCAGAAGTCGCGCCCCATGGAAGAGGGCGGCCGCCCTCGGGCCCCGGCCTCCGCGCGCCGAGCTCCACCAACAAGAACCACTTGTGCTCCTCGACGTCCGGAATGTCGCCCCACGCCAACCACTCGCGAACCGCTGGCAGACCTGCTCGGCGGTCTATCACAGTGGCGCTGCCGGGCCGCAGGATGACGGCCGCGAAGTGGCCCACGCTCGCGGCCAATCCAGCTTCGCGCCGCGGCGGCTCCCACTTGACGTAACGCCCTGGACCAGTCGGACCCCGCGGCTGCCGGATCAGGGCGAAGCCGAGATGTGACAGCCATTGGTTCCCATGCTCGAGCGCGCGGAATGGGCCTCGCACGCTGGTCGGCACGTGTGCTCCCAATGCGTTCAGAGCCAAGCTGAGGCACGCATGGGTGGCAGAAACGCGCTGGTCGTCGGCGGCCATGACACGAAATGCGACAGAAGGGTTACAGGACAGCAATGCTGATCCACAATCAGGGAAAAAGCGGAGAAATCAAAACAGGCCGGCAATGCCGAGCCACGTTTGCTAGAATCCTGAGCCGATGAAGCGAGCGGCAATCGACGAATCGCGACGGCGAGTGGAAGGTGGCCTCGATGTTCAGGTAATTACGAGAGAATATATTTGATATCGTATTCTATCTCGTGATATCATTATGTAACCCTATTCGCTTTACTCCTTGTCAACACTATCCCTCTCTGGATGTGATGCATTTATCACCCGGGGCGGCGCGAGCGCATCTCGGGGGAAAACTGCCGGCCGCGGTCTTCAGGATTTCCGCCCAGCTGTTAAATCGACGCCGAGTGCGCCCTCACCGCTGTAAGTTATGTGCAACAGCGCGCCCTCGACTTCCTCGACGCGGCGCACCCGCTGTGCCGTCGGCAGAACGTGCCTGCTGAAACCTCTCCACACGACAACCGAATCTGCCCCTGAAAGGACTGCCGCAGCGCAGCAATGCCTCCGCATATGACAGAAATACTTCCCGGGCACGAGTGGGCATGCACCCTGCCGCGAAGCCTGCTGGCGCGCGACGGCCAGAGAGAAGCCGAAGTGGTCGGCGACGTCGGCGTAGCGGCGCTCCGCGCCTCGACGAACGGGAAATCGCGCACAATAGTCGGTCGATCCGCAGAAGTCTTGCGTCAGGATGCTGTATGCAAGCAGTATGCAGTTTCCATCTTGCAGGAGAGCTCGACAGCCGCGCACGGCGGGCGGCGAGGGCTCTACCCAGACGCCGAGCTCTTCGGCCGCTGCCAACTCCGTCGCACCAATTGGCACTGCGTCAAGCAGTTGTGACATCTCCCTGCGCCAGGCCACAACTTTGGCCTCCCACTGCCGCTTGCTGACGTCAGGCAGGTAGGGGTCTGGTGTCGCGGGCCTCTCGTCATCTACCAGCTCGCCAGTGCTGCTCAGGAGCTGGATTGACACATACTCGATGGACCGCTTGACCCCGGAAACACATCGGATTCGCCTTCCGCGCGGGTCGGCGTCTTCGACAACCGCGAGAGCATCGCACATGCCAGGTAGCGCGCCGCGAGGCGATGAGGTGCCAGGGCGGCAAGGCCGACCCACAGAGAAATACGGGTAAATGCAAAGCGAGGAGAGCACAGGGCGGCAAAGCCGACCCACGTACAAGATATGCCTTGAGCCGACGCGGCGAGTGGCGTCTCAGAAAGCGCGCAGATACCTCTGCAAAGATCGGGGTGCGAACGGAAGAGTACGCGACTGAACTGCCAATGAATAGCTGGCGCTGTGAAACTGAATGCGCCGATCCCCATCCGTTCCCGCAGTGGCTCTGTGTCCTGAGTGTCCCTGCGACCAGCGCTCGCTCATCCACGCGGGCTAACTAACAGACTAGTTGGGGGCCCTGGCTCACGCTGCGACCATAATATATCTGTTTATCTTATATTTAAATATATGCCCCAAAACTTGATTCGGAGAGAATAACTTTTCATCTGGTCAAGCACATGGGAATCCACGCGAGCAATCGAGATACATTGAGGACTGACCTGTTTTCTGTCTCCCGCAGTCGCTGCTACTAACTGACAGCTCAGCCCGCTCGGCGGCGCCTCACGCCATCAAGCCCGAGAGCCCTGCCAAGGGGCTGGAGTCGTCGCCGCCTTCGGCGGCCCCCTGCGCCGCCGGGCACAAATCAATGCGAAACGTGACTGCTAGCCTCGAGTCTCGCCCCGCGAGGACGGCGTCATGGACATCTCACAAACCCACCTCTCCAGCATGATCTGTAAAATAAACCGACACCTTGTCGAGCGCGGTCGCCACGTGCAGGAGTGCGCAAGACGGCGATCCGTCCCCATCCAAGTGGAGCAGATAATGCCCGTCCTCGCGCGCATCGAAACCTAAATCATCTACATCTACATCTACATCTACATCTACATCTACATCTACATCTACATCTACATCTACAGCTACAGCTACAGCTACAGCTACAGCTACATCTCCATCGCCATCTCCATCTCCATCTCCATCTCCATCTCCATCTCCATCTACATCTACATATACATCTACATCTACATCTACATCTACATCTACATCTACATCTACATCTACATCTATATATACATCTACATGTACATATATACATATATACATATATACATCTACAGCTACATCTACATCTACAACTACATCTACATCTACATCTACATCTACATCTACATCTACATCTACATCTACATCTACATCTGCATCTGCATCTGCTACATCTACATCTACATCTACATCTACATCTACATCTACATCTACATCTACATCTACATCTACATCTACATCTACATCTACATCTACATCTACATCTACATCTACATCTACATCTACATCTACATCTACATCTACATCTACAATCTACATCTACATCTACATCTACATCTACATCTACATCTACATCTACATCTACATCTACATCTACATCTACATCTACATCTACATCTACATCTACATCTACATCTACATCTACATCTACATCTTTATCTACATCTACATCTTTATCTACATCTACATCTACATCTACATCTACATCTACATCTACATATACATCTACATCTACATCTACATCTACATCTACATCTACATCTACATGCGAGGGAGAGGTGGGAGGGGAGGGAGGTTCAAACGACCCCTGCGGCCAGCGCGACGGCGATGGCGCCATTCCGACCAGCGACCCGCAACCCGCCAACGCTCGCCCACGACCCGTGCTCATCGCCGTCGTCGTCGTCGTCGTCGTCGTCGTCGTCGTCGTCGTCGTCGTCATCGTCCACAGTTTGGCAAAGACGGGGGCGTTCTGGGACCCATGGGGCACGGCACAGCATGGCATAGGATAGGCCCCTGGAAGGATCCAAAGGGCTTAAGAGGACCTCAGAACGCCCCAAGACGGCCCCGCGGCGGCCACGGAGTGCCCCCCGGGCACACCTATCGCAAAACAGCGTTTGCGATAGGTGCGCGCGGGGGCCCGTCACCCCCCCCCGGTTGGGTTTAAAAGGCTCTTCTGGGGCCCAAGACAGCCGCCGGAGAGCCCTCAGGAGGCTCTCGCAGGGCCCCAATGGAGCTCTAAAATGCCACGGGATGCCCCCCGGGCAGACCTATCGCAAAGCAGCGTTTGCGATAGGTGTGCGCGGAGGCCTGTCAGAGCCCCCCGACTAGTTTTTGCAGTTCCAGGTGGAGCTCTTTGGAATTACTGGACAGGGCTCCAGCAGGACCAAAAACCTCAAGAGAGCCCAAGTGACACCCAAGACGGCCCCTCAGGAACACTGAACAGCCCAGGGACAACACAAACCCGAGGAGGCAATAATTATTTGTTTTCATGTGACTTTTTAATATGTTTGCATTTTTGTATTTTCGAGCTTCCGTCGGCTCAAGACGGCCCCAGGCGCCTCCAACATAGGCCCACGACGGCCCGAGAAAGCCGCGCGATGTCCAAAGGTGCCTTCGATGCGGCCTCAGGACAACCCGCCCAAAGGGGCCCCAAGAGGGTCGGCGGAGAGCCTCGGGCGGGCTTCAAAAGAGCCAATATTATTCTGGGAAAGCCCGGCCCCGCTTTCCCAGAATGATTCGGGCATCCTGGGGTTCTCTTGGCATCTCTTGGGGCCTGCGAAAGCTCTCCGGGGGTATCTTGGAACTCTTTTCGGTTCCGAGAGAGCCACTAGGGGGCTCCAAAAGGGAATGCAAGAAGCTTTTCACAGGCCCCAAGAGGCCCCGAATATGGTTCCAAGAGGACCTCAAGAGGGTTCCAAGGAAAGTTCCAGGAAAGCTCCAGGAATCCCAAGCTATTCAGGGAAAGCGCCGCCGCGTTTCCCACCACTAATGCGGGCCCTATTGGGGCCCTCTAGGGCCCGAGCTCGCCGACGCGACATTGCGCCTCGTGGCCTCATCGAGGTTCTCATGATGCTCTACGGGAGCACCCGACGCGGTCTACTTGACTTCGCCGTGGTGCTGGAAATCGAAGAGCTCGAACACACATGTTGTTTTTGTCCCGCTGGCACCAAATGGAACTTGTTACGCGGGCCCCCCCTCCAAGTCGAGAAAAAAAACATCCGCGCCCTCGCTGGCCAGCGCACTTCGCGGCGCGAGGCGGTTCCCCATGGCGAGCGCGGACTCGCTTTCAAGTGTGCTTCCGCTGGCAGAAAAATGAATGCGCCGAATGCGATGCGGAAGAAGACGAACTCCTCCGCAAAGCGCGGTCGCCTATGGGGTTCTAAAAAGGGCTGCGGACGCTGCGCGTGAGTTGCGCGAGCTGCGCGAGTTGGTGTCCCAGACGCGTGGCCGATAGCGCCACAATAGGGCTGGTGGCCGGCGGGGCGCGGCCAAGCGAGGCTCTCCGCCCCAGGGCGCTCGACGGAGCCGCGCGCCTACGACAGCTGCGCCGCCGCGAAGAGAGCGCGCACGTCGGCCAACTCGCGCCTCAGGTCGCGGACTTCGGCTTCCAGGGCCTCTACCCTGGACTGCAGGCCGCTCGCCTCGCTGCCACCGCCCGCCCCCACGCTGCCGCTGCCGGCGCCGCCGCTCGCGGCGGCGCCGGGCGTGTTCAGCTCGTCGCCGACGTCCTCCGCGGCATCGGGGGCTGTCCACGCGAGCGCCGGCGGCGCAGCCTCTGGCGGGGCCCTGAGCGGCGCCGCCGGAGGCGCCGCCGCGCCCCAGGCGCCCCACGGGAAGGGCAAGGCGCGCGGCTCGGGGGGCGGCGCCGCTGCGCCTCTGACCCGCTCGGAGAAGTGATCCGGATTGTGGACCCACGGGACGCAGAAGCCGTTCCTGATGACTCAGGACAGCAAAAACCACGATGTCCATGTAAATTGTGTTTTTTAATGCAGAGGGGGGGGGGCATGTATTCTCAATCCCATGCTCCCTGCGTGAGTTTTGATTGATCCGTTTTCCACGAGGCTTACTTGGCGGTTCCCACGCGAAACCCCAATCCCCTTGAGGGTGCAAGAGAGAGAGAGAGAGAGAGAGAGAGAGAGAGATCCCTGGCTCCTGGGATGGGTTTACATGATGCGCTCTTGTCGTTCCCTGGCCCCCCTTGAGGATGCAAGAGAGGGTTTACATGATGCGCTCTTGTCGTCCCCTGGCTCCTGGGATCACCGTACCACGAGTGGCGATCCCCGAGGATGTGGTCGTCGTTCACCTTGTCCTAGACGGAATCTTCAATGCTCATTGAAAGTTTCGGGGCCGCCCTACCGAAGCCAGAAGCCCCTCCTCTATTTTCCGATCCTCATCGGCTCGCCCCGCGGAGTTTTCTGGGCTCCAGGGCCGCTCCTCACAATCGGAGATCAGACTAAATGGAGTCCACCGGCTTGTCCCTTGACATTTTTTAGCAAGTTGTGCCCGCGGCGGATGCCCAACAGCCGCAACCGCGGTGTCGCGGGTCCTGCACGTACGGGCGCTAGTTGGCGTAGCACAACTTGCAGCGCCAATCGCCCTCCGGGTCCGCCTCGAGCCACGAAACCTGATCGGAGGATACTAAGCTCCGCGGATCGCAATCGTCGTTCGAAAAGAAATCGTCGCCGCGAATCAAGCCACTCGATACGCCCATTGAATTTCGCCTGAGCGCGAAGCCCCCCACCTCCCCACCCTGCTACAAGCCTCGCCAGGGATATTCAGACACAACAAGGGTATTTCACGTCCGTGATGAATTCGGGCACTTGTCAGAAAGCGCATTCTTAAATTTTGATAGAGAGGTGACTGATTTTAAGCATGCCCGCGTCCGAATCATATGGTTCTTCATTACTAGAATGGCGTTGACCCTATAAGTCTCGAAATCTTCGAAAACAATGCGTTGATTATTCCTGGCGAGGCTTGTCGATACGACCGCAAGTTCCGCCGTTAGTTGCCTGCTCTGACCAGGCCAGAAGCCCCGGAGACCCACGGAACGAGTGAGTGTCGAAACCCGCGGAGGCTTGGGGATCCGGGATCCGAAAGCATTTTCTAAAACCTTGCCCCCCTGCGATAGTTTGCAATCCGCGTCACTGGCGAACGAGTCTCCGCTTCCAGAAAGAGCGGGGTGGGCGCCG